GAAGGTATTCTCAAAGACGAAAGCATCTTGAAGTTGCTGAAGGTAGAAAAAAGAATAGCCCTTGTTAATGAAAAAGCAGATCCCACCTATGGAGATACATCCAAGAGGGGGTGTAAAAGGGATGTTACCTGGTTACACTCCTCGAGTTCTACCAGACTGGGTCGCTTTTCTGTCATTTCTGTCTCGATTGCAGTCAGTTTGGCGATCTGATCTTCCAGGCTACCTTGATCGCCAAGGGCCACAGTGTTAAGGCGTCCCTGTGCATCTTCCAACCAGGCATTGAGACTGCCGGCATGGTCAGCGAACTTGCGACGGATATCGTCATTTTTCACCTGCTTCTGTTTTTCTTCCTCGAGGGCAGTTTGGCGTTCGCCCGCCAGTCCAAGTATCATCTGCCATACGTCATCCAACTCCTGTATAGGCGAAAAAGGAAGCTCATTTGAGGATAATAAGATAAACAGACATCATCACCGACATCATCGAATAAAAAGTTAACACATATAATAGTGACGGCTCAATATGATACATACCTGAGAGCCTGAAACTATGGAAGACTACCATAGAACAATGAAGAAGTCAGAGAGGAGGGAGGGATAAAGAGGGGAGTAGCAGTATTTTTTACCTCTGGCTTCAAATGGATCGAAGGCGAAAATATTTTCCAAAGAGTTAACTTCCTTCGATGATACGATATACTTAGGTATACAGAACGGAGGATTTACAATCTGGTAAACCCTGCGGAGGACTGTAGCTTTCTAATGCAGAAGCAGAATTTGTCTAACACAGCACAGATGACGGGGAGAAAGGAACCAATAAGAAAATTCAACCCGGTGATTATAAACAAGGGGCAAAGTCGACCGATTTTTAGTATTTCCACTCTAACATACAGACATGCAACATGCCTTATCCAGGGTCCTCCGGTTCATAGTCAATTTATCGTAAGAACGAGCCCTCGCTGGCTTCTGGAATTATCTTGACAGTGAGCGTATGGACGGGCGGCTTTAGCAAGACGCCCTCGCGACCAATGACGAAGGTGAAACCAAGCAAATACAGCTGATGCGTACCGGTGACCGAGACGTCCTTGTCTCACAATTAGCGCCTGAAACTCGCCCCTTTGTTTACATGGGCGATGTTGTTCATCGTCTTAACAACACCGTTGCCTATCGACATGTGTAATACTTTCACGCTCATCCGTAGTAAGCCAGCAGACGCCTTCTGAATATCAGCAGCAGCAGCAGCAGCACATGATCCTGGCCGGAAGACTAGCATTGGGCCCTCCAATGACACGTGCCGAAGCAGTTCAATCGTCGTTTGAGTATGTGCACCGCGTGCCTCAGAACAGA